AGTACATTATATTTATCGGACAAACGCTCTGGACATCGCATGATGGTCAATGCTCAAAGTGCACAATCATACATCAATTGATGAAGTATAATCTAACGGGAATGGTTTTGCCAATAGAATGAGAGAAGACAATATTACAGTAGAAATGGCTAAAATCGTGCAGACAGCCCACCCACCTAGCATGTCCACACCGTATGACGCCACACTCTACTCCCACAACCCTCCTCCAACAAATCCTTGAATCGACTATCTCAATTCCCTACCCTCGCGTCTCCGTCACGGGAGGAGGCTGTGACGGCGCCCTAGGCCGAAACCACCGCTTATATTCCGTCCAAGCCGCCACCAGCAACACACAAGCGCCCAAGATACCCCCTACAACACCATACGCGATCTCACCACCCCTGCTATTCGCCGCCAGTTGCAGTCCCAATCCGCCATTGACGATGCCCAGCAGCATCAACATCCGTCCATACCACACATGCAGATGGGTCCAAGCATTGGGTCTGTGGGTCTTTCGGAAGCGGATGTGATGGATCAGGCCAAAGAGCGGTTGAACCAGCAACATTGCGACGACAATCGTGCCTATTTTGGTGTGGGCGTTGTTGTAGGCCTTGTCGGGTTCAGTAAGCGGGGTTCCTCACGGATACAAAGAAAGATGTGTAACATCTAACCAACTCACCTTGTCCGTAATCCTCGCTATCCGCACCCCGAGCCCAAATCCCGCTATCATCAAACTCCAGCTGATAAGTTGCCACGCCGCGTGTATCCAAATACTTCCTCTAACATTGAGAAGCCCGATAGCGATAACACCCAGTGGCATCATAACGCCAAACGTCAACCCCATGATAACGCCATGAGCCTTGATGTAGGTCGGGAGAAGATGGAGGTCTTCGAAGATGATGCGACCCATCGCAGGCTGGACCATCAAGCCTGTCAATATCAGTCAAGGCCTCATTTTCTTTTGAACGAGCATACCTAGGCCTATAGATACGAGCCCCGTTCGAATTGCCATTGTGTTATTTCGTAGTGTCGTGGCGGTATCCACTGTTCTTCATGCTATTGTTGTACTCCCGTCACCATTATATACTGATTGAAAAATGCAGTCGCACGCCCTCAGCCTTCGGATCCCGAAAAGTCCGCAGGGAGTGAAGAAATTGGAAAGTCGCACTCGTATCACACAATTGCTGACAGCCACGGAAGAAGATCAATCCCGAGGTTCCCGAAGCCGGGATGTTTTAGGTCTCCCCCGCGAATGAAAACAGAGTTGGCTGATCTGATCTGCTTGGCTCCTTTTTTGTCATGCCGCATGGCTGTGAGATTAGAGCCCGTTGTGGAGCTCTGATGTGGCATGGCAGATGCAACGAGCAGGTTCTGTCCAGTCACTGGTTGTTAGGTTTTGGTGGCTTATCCGTCATCATTTGGAACCTGGGGAGCCCGAAGCCAATAAGTCAGTGACTCTTGGGGATAGATTCATCATCATCGGTGACTTGTTTCAGTGTTCTTTTGACGTGTCAATATCACTGGCCTTCGCAGATGCTGAAGGTAAGGTTGACCCAGGCATCAACCATCAACTGGTGGACCAGCATAGACGATCTCATTATCTTACCGAACTAATGATATGGCTATTAATCAAAATTCCATTATCCAACCACACGGTAGATAGAGTAACAATATCTACTGACAACAGGACATTGACAAACCCGTGGTGCCATGGTCACACCCTTTTTCTCGGCATGTTCAGCTGAGCCATGGACAACAACATAACCTCAACACGTGGCCTTCGAGCATGGAACACAACATCGGGTATGAGCTTAATTCAGAATTGAGTCTATTCTTCCTTTTGACAATGAGGTATTTGATCAGTACACCTAGCGGCTGAGGTGAGTTGGCTAAACTAAAGTACCCCAGCGATACTGCATAATCACATTGTGATGGAAGAGCGAAATCTAAATTGATATCCACGATCACATGAAGATTCTTTTTAGATGTACTATACACGTCAATGATATATGTCATAGTCACATCGTAGAATCTCTGTGGTCTAAACATCCAACTGTGTTCCCAGTGACGTGCAACCCTGATCCCCCATCATCAATTAGGCAGCTGCACCAAGATGTAACATGGGAATATGTAGCGAGACACCCAATGCCTTTTTAGTTTAGATATCAATACTTAAGACTTCAATCTAGAATACCAATTAAACAAAAAAAACAAAGAAAAACACAAAGAAAAACACAAAGAAAAACAATGCATGAGTAAATATCATCAAATCACCATCAGTCTAATCTCAAATCAAGCTGCCAACCCACACCCGGACTCACGGTCAAACTCCGAGTTTCTCCCACCACCGCGGTTTGACTTTCCCTTCTTCGAACCCTGTCTTATCCGGCTTGCACCTAGTCCCATGTTCCGGCAGCTTGCCGTCCGAAAAGTATTCCTTGATTGCATGGATCGTGCATGCAGAAGGATGATTCATTATGCCGTGCTGTTGACACATTAGCCTATTTCCCTTCCCTATTCCTGCCATTTAAATCCAGAAAAGAGAGAGCGAAAAAAAAAAGACGAAAAACTCACTCCATGTCCCTCATGTACCACAACCCGGCTATCCTTAAACCCAGCCGAAACATCATAAGCAGAAGCCATTGGCGTGACCGGGTCGTAAGGGCTATTAGCCAGCATAATAGGGAAGCTAGTAGTGATATTCCTCCAGCTTCCCTCGTAGCGCTCCGCTGCATCCATCTTCCACTGCGCGCACGGCCATACCTGCGGCAGAAACCCATCTGCAAAGCTCCCCTTACTGCTCTGGTACTGCAGCAAGCTGTACATGTCTTCAGGGCTCTTGGCGCGGAACTTCGCGTCAGAACAAGCGATGCCGTGGAAGGCGTGCTGTTGGAGATTCCACGCTGGCTCTGGTGAAGAGGAGGGGGTGGTCGGTGCCGCTTCGCCGGCTTTCATCCACAGATCCCACTCGCGGCTGAGCGCTGAGCTGATGGAGGCCATCAGGGGGATGAATGAGCTGGGCTGGTAAAGAGTGGAGAAAATACTGTACTTGATCTGCTCGAGGAGCTTGATCTCTCCCGGCTGCCACCAGGGTATGTTTGTTGTCGGGTAATTCTTCGGAAGGACAATCGGCTTGTCGATCAGTTCCTGGAAGACCTTGCCGAGGGCGGCGCTGAGGTCCTTCGGCTTGGTGTCGGGTCCCGTGAAATTCGCAAAAGGGCACAATTCGGGTCCCGCGGCAATACACTCAGTGAAGAAGTTGTCGAGAGACGCCTCTGTTTGCGCGACCGTCGCGGCCCAGTACCCTGAGTAGTAGTCGTCGGCGAGGAGGATGCTGTCGAGCAGCATCCGCCCCACGCGGTCGGGGAACATAGCGGCAAAGGTTTGCCCTAGCGCTGTACTGTAGGATCGGCCCCAGAAGCGCAACTTTCCGTCTTCGTTCAGGGCGTCGACGATGCGAAGCATGTCTCGTGCGACGAACGCGGTGCCGTATAGGTGGCCGGTGTCTTTGAGAGACTTGTGGCAGGCAGTGGCTAGGAGGCCGCCGTCGTGCCACGCCTTGGATTTGAGGATGTTCCACATATCGTCCTGGGGGAGGCTCGCAGGTGTGCTGCGGGTTTTCTTTTCTGTTTTGTTTTCCTGCGCGGCGGCCATGTTGCAGATGTAGGGCATAGTGTGTCCAGTTCCACTGCACGAGCGTTAGGTATGGCCTATCAACATGAGAGGTATATTTACCGAGGATCAAAACCAATGACATCGAATTGTCCGCCCAGCGTCCTAGTGCCATAGTCAGTAAAGTCCAGTCTATCTGAAAGCATATGGTATTACTCACTCCACATATTTGGGTCCTTTTACTACCACTTCCTCGACTCCCGAAGATTTCGGGCCTCCGGGGTTGAAAATGACGCTTCCTTTGCGCGGTTCCTTGGTGGCATGAACCTTTACCAGCTGAATATCCAGCGTCTTTCCAAGTTTCGGCTTAGTGTAGTCCAGAGGGACTTTTAGAGTTGCGCAATCGATGGGAACAGTGATTTGGTCTTTCAAGCTTTTTGGGAATGGCAAGTTGCAAGGGCGCCATTTCAACTCTTTGGGTAGGTGATGAGTACTGTTTGTATGGGGAAGGGCTTGGACGATGGTTGAAGATAAAAGCGAAAATGCAGCAATGAGAGGCCACATGGTGAATAACTCAATGCTATTGAACATTGAATGATATTGTAATGAGATGCTTTACACATATTCTAGGTGAGGGATACGTAGATATATATATATATGGTTTCCTTCGACGCCATCAAATTGAAGCCCAGCTAGGCGTCCTAGAGATCTACATCGATGATATCAGGATTGACATTGTCAACAGTCCCAGCCCTAGGTAGATAAACTCAAGATAGCTCCAGTGGATCACAGCGGCACATGGTTCCCAATCTGGAAACAAAAGTCCAGCTCAGACTCACATTAGCATGGTATGTGCATCGATTGGGCCATGCTTACGGTGGATGTGGCATATCTTGGCAGAGGCAGTGTTGCCTAGCGCTCAGTTTTTCCCATTGGGGAAATCCGGTTTGCGCCAAGGCTACGAAGTAACAGAGTCAGATGTGTTATGATGACGAACCTGTTTCTAATAGGTAGATAAAATCAGATGCATCAATCCTGCGCTCATTGGATCTGACATTCACACTAGCCGGTCCCTCAGCCCTGACCCTTATAACGACCAATTGACTCTTCCCTTTCATGTCAAAGAAGGTGATTCTGAAAATAGTGTTCTATTTTATAACTTCCATGATTCAATCAAGATTTAGACTTTGTCTTCAGTTCCAGTGACTTCATAGGATTTTTGACCGATCACAGCCCTAGACTTCTCATCTCATTCATATTTGAACAAGAGTGTCTTGGCAGGATATATATGATGATTGTTAAGGTCGAGAAGACCTCTAGTATCTTCATTTTTTTTCTTGTACGGTGAAGATTCATTCATCACGGATTCGTGTCCTTGCCAAGCGAATCTTACTACATGTGGTTACTTCATCCCCCAGGTCGGGGTCAATACGAGCCCGCGCAGCACGTGGTGCATGATGCTGCGACTCACGACCAGAACACCTCTAGGTCCTTACTTTCTACGCAGAGACTGAGTCTGTAGACACACGCGGGGAAGTAGGTCTGTATAGGCCGATGCGATCTATCCGTCAAATCGAAAGAAAAGTCGCGTCTAGAACGAATGAACAATGGACCCGGTCCTCGAGCCTTACCGATACCAAAGATTGAGCACGCCCCGCTCATTCCGGATTCTGGAAGTTGAACGATTTTCAAAAGATCCAGAAGTTCAAGTGCTTCATGGCAAGATCACAGAGGAGTTTATTGACAACCCTCCAGATTACGAAGCCCTTTCCTACACATGGGAAGATCCGACTCTTTCAGAGCAGATTATCCTCGACGGACGAACATTGTTAATCACGCATAGCGCCGCGACTGTCATCCGGCGCATGCTGCGGGGAAAGTGGACGCGGCGAATTTGGATTGATGCCGTCTGTATTGACCAGTCAAGAGACCCCGCTGCGCTTCGAGAGCGCAGTGGTCAGGTCCAACTGATGGCGGAAATCTACCGCGCGGCGAGTCGCGTCAACGTCTACCTCGGAGAAGGTGATGCGGAATCCGACGCCGCGGCGAGAAGCCTCCTGGCGCTTTCCCTGTCGCGGACGTTTGCTCTGGCCCCTGGGCCATTCAAGAACTTCAGGAGAAGGAGGTACGAGCGGCGGGTGGCCGATGCAGTCCGTAAGCACACTCATCTTAGCCCACAAATGTAATAGCAAACTCTGACATCTGAGCAGGTATAACAGAGGAACGGCCGTACGGGCTTCTATTTGCGCTGTTCAGAAGACCTTGGTTTCAGCGCACCTGGGTACTCCAGGAAGTCGCCATGGCGAAAAGTACCATGTTTTACTGCGGCAACCGGCTGGTGCATATGGAGGTGCTTAACGCAGGCATTGACTTCATGTCCGTATACGGCCATGCCTCCAACTTGCCCGCGGGTCTCCACATCCACTGGAAGTCCTATATCGAGACACACTATGCCCTCCAGAACATTGTGCGCAGAATATCTGAGGGGGAAACTCTGCCCGACCTAACATTGACTTCGATTCTCCTCAGTGTAAATTTAAAGTTCGCTACCAGGCCCGAGGACAAGGTTTATGGGCTTTACGGGATTTGCAAATATCTTGGGTTCCGGTTGCCTGAGCCGGATTACCAAAAGTCTCCGGATGAGGTGTACACCGAAGCGGCGTGTTGCATGATAGAACAAGATCGGTCACTGGAGCTTTTGAGCTTGCTTGATGGTTCCGGGCTGGCCTTAGGGTTGCCGTCATGGGTGCCTAATTTAACGGGCTTCCTCGCGCCAAACGGGACGAAAACCTTCACCACTACAAAGCACTTTCAAGCAGCTGGGTCAAGCAAGTATACCTATAACTTGACAACGGAGAATACAAGACTACGAGTGCTAGGAAGAAAACTTGGCCGGATAAAGTCAGTCGGGATAATCTGCGACACGGACCCCAACAACCATCCTGCAATAGGACCCCCACATACAACGCCTCAAGTGTTCGAGGCTGTGACGCTTGCGATCCAAAACTGGGTACAGATTGCGCAGGAGATAAGCACAAATGCGTATCCCACGGGGCAGCCGTTTCTCGAAGTCTTTGCCCGGACGTGCTTTTACGATACCTGTTACAGCAATCGGATCACTCCAGAGCAGCTGGCGATGGGGACGAAGTTTATCTCCCTGATCCTGGCGATGACATCCGGGATGGCGTCGCTTATGAGTGAATCGGTGATACAGTCAACATTGCAAGAGCTTCAGAGCCCTGCCGTAATCAGTACTTCGGAAGGGAGCATAATGCATACCCTGTGGAAAAGGATGTTCGCCACCGATGGTGGACTACTCGGAATGGCGCCGTGGAGTGCGGAGGCGGGTGATGAGGTTGTGCTTCTGGCTGGTTGCTCGAATCCTTTTGTTGTGAGGCCGTGCTCCGGGGGACATCAGGTCATTGGGCCTGGGTATGTCCATGGGGTCATGGATGGAGAGGCCTGGAATGCACGATCTGAGTCTGATGATGAGTTGTTTGTTTTTGTATGATACAACCTTGTGTACGTTTTTATAAGTATGAGTCCGATGAGTAGACTAATTAATCACTATATCAACCAATATTATAATTGGTATGTAACAGATGTAATAGATGGTTATTACCACCCGACCACTAAAGCATCATACTATTTACAAGTGATAACTGAGGATATCGTAGTCACCATTCTGCACTCCCAAAATGTTTCCTTAACTAAAAGTATTAATCATACAACTGCTCTGGTGGTGTAGCGGTAACATCGTTCTCTTCCATTATAAGGCTAAGAACAGCTCCGGGTTCGACTCCCGGCCAGTGCAATACGAATTTCTTTTTTTGCTTTCTCATTCCGGAATTTAGTTTCATGCGTGATTCATATAATAAATACACTTGTTAGTGCTTGGTTTGCCTATTGATGAGGTCTTTCTCTTCCTTTTATTTGTCTTTTTCCCTCTCCTTTAGCACTTCTTCATCTATATGGAATATGTGATTGTATGTAGATTACACACAGTGAAGATATGCACCTTGTACTTTCCAACCAATGCATCATTGTACAAATAGCTCAGTTGCTCGATGGCTCTTAGCATACACTGATAGATCCTAGAAACAAGAGCAGCAAACGTGTAAGCTTGACATTGTACAGTGACATCACTCATAACATTGTTAACAACTATACAGAAGCAAAGCTGCCTCATTCATCTAATCTATATGCGTTGGGTTTATCCCGGTCTAATTAGTATTCGCCCATTATATTACCCAAGAAATAACGCCATGCCATTATGCAAAAGCAGGCAGGGTCATCTTGTGCATATAATCATCCAAGAGTTTCTCCTCTTGGTCAATGAACGGCTGCACTATAGCCCTCCCCCGAGTAAGCTCATCTTGCAACTTCACCCACTCCGCCTGGTGATCCACCCGGGAACCGGACCCCGAGGCACTCTCCTTGCGCTGAACCGCAGACCCGTTCGCCTCCACGCCAGTCGCATGGCCATTGGCGTCGCCGTTCACCGCAGCAACAGGAGGACAAAGCGGGACATATCCCGCGGCCTCAAAGGCGTCCTTCGGCGGAACGGTATACCGACCCTTCTTGAGCACATATTTGCTGATAGCCAGCGCCAGCACCCTCTTCTGGCGCTGCTCCTCTGTCTCCTCCTTCTTCTTTGACGACGCGCTCTTGGGTTTCAGGAAGTACGTGACGATGTAGATCCACTTCTCGTCGTAGGATGCGATGTGCGACTGCACCTCGTACTTCATGTAGGGAGGGATCTCGCGCTTGAAGTTTGTGTACACACTGCCCAGGATAAATCCCAGCACGCCCTTCTTGCCGTCTTCTTTGAGCTGTTTTTCGAGGAACGAGACTCCTTTCATGAGGACTGAGGAGATGAGTGCTGTACGGGAGACGTCCAGATCGGAGAAGTAGGTCGAGTTGGACTTGTGCATGTTGGAGTCGAGTTCCATGATCGGGGCGCGCGTGAAGATGCTCTTGGGCTCGAGGAAGGACGAGCTCGGGGACGGAGGCGGTTTCACGGCGGGGTTGATGAGGTAGCCATGTTTGAAGAAGTAGCGGTACACGCGAATCTGAAAAATGTATGTTAGTATACCAAAGATTTTGTTTTTATGAAAATGGAGCGAGGCTTGGGTTTTCTTACATGCCAGACTAGAGGAAGATTTTTGAGGTTGAACAATGCAAAGCCGATCGCGACGGCTTTCCAGAAACTGACCGAGCTCCAGAGCGAACCGGCGAGGGAGTGAACGAATTCCATGCTGAAATATATAGATCGATGTATCACGAGGTTTGCAAGGCTATGCAAGCAATCTGATGCAAGAAGAAGAAAATAATAACGATAAAGGAGAAATAGAAACAAAGGAAAAGAAAAGAAGAGAGAGAACGAACAAGACTGACAACGAGAGAAAATGCAAGGAGAAGTTCACCCGCGGTGTATTATTTTAATTGTATCAGAAAGACTAAGATCAAAAGGGAAAGGGCCTGCTGTGGCCGAGCGTTCAGCAAATCAGTCTACATATTGAAGGATTAGTCTTGATTTACCTCGGCCCAGGTTGCCACTTTTGTGCCATCCATGGTAACATCCTCCGAGGTTTGAAGATAATCGGGGGAAATCTCCGACTAGTCTCCCCGATCATCTATAATCGGGATGCCGAACCCGGTTTTGACACATTCTGCTGGAGTTCTAGAATCCCAGTCATCTCCGCAGATAGGTAGTGGGAGGTAACAGCAAAGCTAGATACACTCTGATCAAGAACCAAACGTCAACTATCTGGTCTTGAAGGCATGCAGGCATTCTCTATTTATGCTATAAAATACAAACACACCCAGCTGGTGATCGATCTTTGTCCCAAATATATTTGGGATGAAAAAAAAAAGTCATGACAAGAGTGGGATTCGAACCCACGCACTCTGGGAGTATTGGGATTTCCAGTGTTCTGGTAGAAGCTTTCGCTTGAATCCAACGCCTTAGACCGCTCGGCCATCTTGCCCGATGAAATATAAAAATCTTCAGTTTCAAAACCTGATCCTGGTTTGACGATTATCAGATCTGAGTCAGATCTTCGATTATCCTGAGCTCATCTGAGCTACCTTTATGGTCATGACTTATCAAATAAAACCAGGCTGGTCATAGATGATGTACAATCTAAATGCGTTCTATGGACTCCGTACTTAATAATTAAGTACGTTCATACAGCCCGGAAAGTTGGGCCAAGCAGACAGATCTTCTCGGGCAATAATGCTACTTCTGTGGAGTACTACGTCGCAGAAGAGCATATGCCGAACCTGCAACATTCAAACGACTGTTGAATCCACGCACGAAGTAGAAGGAGAACTCTACCGTATGTAAACAAGTACAGTGGATCTATCTTATTGACTTGTAGCATTACCAAGTCGTATGGTAGGTATGAACTGTGTATACCGCGAGAGCATATCAAGATATATATAGTGCACGGAATGCTGAGCAGAAAGCGCAACATAGTCGATTCTTGGCTACTGAGGTACATGAACTCTCTAGTGTGCGATATAATATCAATAAACTCTTAGTAAATGCTAACATACTTACAAGACATAACATAAAAAGAATATATAACATCCTTCACAGCAATAAGCCGTCCATGACAGGCAGAGGAAATTAGTATAACGGCTATATATTTCTCGAATTGACCTCTTCCAAACACATACAAACATAGAATGTGGAGAACAGGGCTTCCCATATGCTTAGCTGTACCTAAGCCGCTATTATGAATGTGATTAAATAATGCATAAGCCCTTTAGTTGTTACCACTTTGTGAGTAAAAGTGTCAAGACCCTAGGATCCCTTGATGCTTCTTGTTTTCCAACCGAGTCGCCCACCCTGTATTTAGTATAGTAGATATAATAAAATACAAAAAATACATATGTAATTTATATTGCCTATAGAATTATCTATTTTAACAGGCTATAACTTTATATATAGTAAATATAGTACTTTAAAAAGCTATGTTTTTAATCTTATCTCTTAAAATTTACTGGTTGTTGAGATACATGAGTATAAAAATGGGCATTTTATATGCAATACAGGGTGGGCGGCTCGGTCGGGTGGGAGACTCGGTTGGGAAACACGTTACCTGCGCGGGCCTGCGGGTATGTTTTTCTGGGCAGCACTACGCGCCGCCCAACCCTGCATGGCTACCATCTAGTTAGAGTAAGCTAGGACAGGAGAATGAGAACTACTACTACTACTATCACTACTAATACTACTACGATTAGGTTCCTATATGGGGTTCCTAGCGAGACCCAGGCGTCGCGAGATGGTTCGTGGCTGTGAGCCTTGGCGGTTATTGTGACCTCTATTTAGGGTGCTCGTGTTCGGAATGAATTCCTCTGATGTAATTTTTGGGCCATAAATTGGGGGAAACTATGTGATCGAATGTTGATCCTGGCTATCTCGTGTCAAGACACTAGGTGACTTGAGTTAGAAAGACCTTAGTCCCAACTATTAGCAGGGTTGAATAAACCCGAGGTCTTACACAGTAACTGTACTAATCATATTAATTAAGAAATAATCCAATGGTCTGATGATAACTAATAAGTAGATTGTCATCTACAAACCGCACCGAGTGACACTCTAGTGGTGAGCCGTAGGAGAGGGTATCAGTGGTCACCGCCCCTCTTTTTGCCCCCATGATTGTAGTTGTCTAGGCGGGACCGGGGATGGGCCGAACCACCACCCCGCTGAACCATCCCCCCGGGCGAGAGCACGGACCTCATTAAATACTTTCACCTCCATTTTCATGGCCCTACAGGCCGCAACTACCTTTACTCAAGATCTGCCAGACTAAGAAAAGCACCACTTCTTATTGTTTGTCGCCTTAGTATATAACCTCAGGAGAATGTCACATTGTGAATGATCATGGACCCCTATACAATCACAACTCTGAGGGAGCATATCAAGGAGTCATTCGGACAAGAATATCAGCAGTGGTACCATACTCAAGACATGTCAATCTTAAGCATTCTTGTAAACTCTGTGTCTAGACAGTTATCCATATCAGGAATCTGTCGGTTGTTTATCTTGTGTTTGTTATCTTCAGCTGGCTGGCTTTCTTCTTATTCATGTTAGCCTGGTGTAACATGCAAGCAAGCAGTTTCGTGGGAGAGAATACCATGATTTTTTGTGTTATTATCTTCTTCATTATCATGCTTCCCCGAAACTTCTTTTTTATTAATCAACTGTGTTCCCATTGCTGCGGACCCCACCATTGCAAACCCAACATTTGAAGCTGTTGTAAATGCCCCTGAAGCAGCGCCTCCCATTGCAGCCCCCTGCAGGGTAGCGAAAAGGCTCCCTGCTTGAACAGCCCCCAGTGAAGACTGCCATGCCGCAGCAAGAGAAGCCGCAACAGGCCCTGTAGCACTGAAACCAACGGCACCTAATATTGCAGGGCCAGTGATAGGGGCTGCAGCCAGTGCAAGCCCTGTGCTACCAATGGCTAGGGAGGTTGGATGTTCTTGAGCAACAGTTCGTCCGAAAGTAACCACTGAGGATGCTGCGTTTCTTACGTGTTCCATGGTCGTTGTAGTCATCAATAGAGAATACAAAGATCAAAGATGTGAGAGGATTGGAACTAGATGGAGGGGGGAGACAAGTATGCTATGTTTGTTGCGATAGATCAGGATGATGTTGACCGTCCTGCCCGAGGAATGCTCCCATGACAGGGAGAAGAAGGAGGAAGGGAGGGTGTATAAGAAACTCCGTTGCGGGGAAACTGCCGATCACATGACTATAGTGACTTGTCAATGCATGCCATGGAGCCTTCGCGGGGAGTCTATAAATAAACTCGTCTCGACGGGGCTAAACAGGGTCTTGAATCATGACTGATAAATAAAAATCATCAGGTGGAACTATGGAAGAGTGTTGGCTTGAACAAAGAAATACTGTGGGGCATTCGTCTCGACTAGGTGGTTACTGGTCACTACCCTTGGGTATAAAACAAGGCGACCAATTACTGGTAAACTCGGATGGAGGTTGCCTCAGAGTACAACTTACAAGGAAGAGTGTGGCTTGTTTGGCTTGGCAATGCTCACTGCGGGCGCGTGCACAACATGCAGGAGCCCACCATGAGAAAACCTCCCTTGTCATTGTCCGCAACTGTCTCCGTGTCTATACCAAGGGACTCATACCACTGCATTGCATCTGGAGGTTAGTGCCTCGTCCTTTAATTAAGTTATGGAATTTGATACTAGGGTCGAGAGGAATATCACTGCGGTGGGTCGTGATCTTGGGTGAGTTAGCATCAAGTCCCGCAATTTAATCCATTCCCCTCACTGGGTAGCTAATACCCACGGCATACAGAACTGAAAACGCCACAAGTGTCAATCAAATCAAACTCCATCGAGCTGCCGACGAATTCGTTACTACACATGATTTGGTCGACTCAAGGAATGAGATTCGGAACTGGAAGCGGTTTTGTATTATTGTGAAAGCAGAGCCCACGGCCATGGGGGTTTTGGCCTGGGGTAATGAGACCATCTTGGCCTCCTCGATGAAGGGCGCGGGTTCTTTCTCCTATGACTTCCAAGGCGGAAACACTGAAGTCGCCCAAAGTCTTCAGCAATGTCAGATGGCATGGAGAAACACCACGCAAAGACACAAGAATAAGGGGAATTGTGCGGAGGCTATGGCAGCCCATCTATACTATAAAGTCAACAATAACCTGCAAGATAGAAAAGCAAGAGTGGGGACATGGGTCAAAGTGGGAAGTGTATGGGAGAAGATCGATCCATGTGGAACTGACCGCACGGTAGGTATCTGATGTTCTTATGAGTCTGTCTTTCCCGGCTAACAAAGCTACAGGACTCTTGGGGTTGCAATCTGTTCACCCAAAACCAGGGTCTTAGGGTCTTAGGGTCTTTGATAAACAGACGCCGTCGGAGCCCTACACGCTGGCAGACCTTGCAGGAGGCCCGATTCTTGCGGAGCAAATTCAGTTATGCGGGGGTGAACCCAGAGCGTTTGATCTGCCATGAGAGATATCTAATTAGAACTGTACCATTTGACCGGCCACCTTGGCTCTTCCGTCTTCAATTATCTCAACCTGAATGCCCGTCTGAGCCCCGATGTCTCTGAACCCCTGTATCATTGCAGGGTCCCAATCTCGCACTCTGAACACTTTTCCCAACAGACAGAATCCTCGGAGGCGAGGGGTGAATTCCTTCCAGTCTTGTAGCCATGATCCAACAACCCTCGATAGGTATTCACTTTCATATGACCATTCCCATTCCTGCTGCAAGCATAGATCGTCCGTGATAGTCAGCCACTCTATGTTTTTCGATAGTGCTTCCTCGAGGGAAACCACATTTGGCTCCCACGGAGCAAATCCAAGCAGAAATGCCATCGGAACCTCCAATCTTTTCAGCTCATCGAGTCCTCGAAAAGGAGTGAAAGACCCGCGGAATGTGAGCTCCGGTTTTTCAGGATCTGCCTGTGAGACGTCTGACCCTGCCGTGATAGTCAAGTCGGTCAAAGTCTCTTGAATGTGAGATAAATCCGCAGCAATTTGATTTAAATCGATAATATCCGTGACAAAACGATCTTGAAGATCCGGGCGGTAATACCAATCCCATCTAAGCTTCTGAAGCCCTCGTGTGACTGATAACACTTGACCGAGAGGCCCTTCGCGCAACATGGTCAAGTCGAGCGACACAAGTCTTGATGGATTTGGTGGGCATTCCCCGGGCCAGATGAAAGCAGTGGAAGGGTTATCGACCAAAGTTCTGATTCGTTCAACTGACGGCAAGTAGAAGAGGGGGAGGACGTCTGCAGTGTTCCTCATTTCCGTGTACTCACGAATTTCCAAACCAAGGCCAGGATACACAGCTGTCACATCTTTAAGACGAGTAAAGGAGGGAAGATGATGATCTTGGAATCTATCACAGAGGGCGGAGCGAAGCATCATGCCCATCAAGCGGCTCTCTCGGGCAAAGTTCTTGGCCAGGTAGAGACACGCCAGATTGGGGAGCTGAGATAATAAAAGCGCTAGAAACGCGTCCATCGTCCCAACGCGCAATTCTTGGATCCATTGCTCGGCGTAGGGAACTTGAGTCTTCTCGATACATTCCACCAGCTCGTCCAAGGCAAACTCAGTGACTGGGAGTCTGGGACTTTCGTGTTGATAGTCACGCCATTCGCGCTCGAAAGTGTTTCCGTTGAGGATGACAACACGGACATAGCTGGCGAGCTCGGGCCTCTGCACGATGCTGCGCAAGAACCGAGTGATTGGGGGGTTCTGAGAGTTTGTCCATGTCCACTGAATATGGGAGTAGAGGAATGGCTCGGCAAGAGAGCGCAAGTATCGATGTGTAAGGCATACTGCATAAAGGTCGCTGGGTGATAGAGATGCAAGTACTGGGTGCAGGATCTCTGGAGGGGTGCTGAGAATGGACGCCATTTTTGTTCCTTTTCCCTGCCGTTTCAAGACTCGACAAGTAATGCTAGACGAGCAGCAGACAAGGTACCTATATAAGCCATTCTTGCCGATCACAAAAATCCCTAGGACTCTAGTTTCACCAATCAGATTGTGAGACTTGAATGGCCATTAGCGCGGGTTAGTTGACACTGACTTGGTTTATTACTATTTATGATATCGCCTCATCTGCGGCGGGCTAAACCAGTGACCAAGCTTCCAGACAGTAGTTGGACAGCCCAAAGTAAATAGAAATAGAAAAGAATTTGAACCCGAAAAAAAAAAAGAAAAACCTTATCATAATAGACCAACCACCATTATGCTTGGGGGCATTAAAGTTATATAATCATCCCTGATATACTGTGCATAGAGTCGTTCAAGCACAGTTGGAAAAGATGTTCGCCTCATTTATTCAAACCGCAGATACTTCCTAATTGCCAACCTTAATTCTAAGAGTTTATATTTTTTACTCTGCCTCAATCTAGTACATACGACCATAGGGTGTGGAGAACAGGGCTTCCCGTCCGCTCAGCCGTACTTAAGCCACACGCCGGCCGGTTAGTAGTATGGTGGGTGACCACATGCGAATCCCGGCTGTTGTATGTTTTTCTTTTTTTGTATGCTATTTTTTATTTTGTACCTGCTATGAATGTTTCTTGAAGAATGATACTCCCACTTAGAGGTCTCAAATTTGAGTAAATAAAGAAACAAGTAAACATTTGCAATTGCGTGAATTAACCATCCAGAACAAGGCCTTCAGTGACATCTGCGGATGACCACTTTCCCCGAAGAAAAACCCAAATGCTTAGTTTTCTAGGTCGCTCTTGCCAATGTCGCAAGCCATGGCCGTCAGCGTCTCCCTCAGTAGCACACGGTTTCGATACAAAAACCAGTGATCACCGTCCACTTCCACCAGACGGAAATTCTTCGTTTCTTTTTTCCAGGCGGAGATCTCCTCCACATACACCAAATCATCCTGACGCGCAGTAAACGCTGTGATAGGTATATTCAACGGAGCTTCCTCATGGAACTGATACTTGAGTAGTAAAGGCCCGTCTTGTCTCATCAAGGGCATAATAGAACGCAGGTAGTCCACATCATCGACGTACCGTGCCACAGACATCCAGTAATCGGGGCTGATGTCTTCCCGAACAACCTCAACCAGGATATCTCGCTTTTGCCAAATACTGATAAGGCTTGGAGCAATTGTGCCGGTGACAAGAAGCTGCGGCAAAGGTTTACCCTGGTGTCGCAGGGCACGAATCATCTCAAATGCAATGATTCCTCCAAATGAATGTCCCCAGATGATGGCGGGGTAGCCGACTACATTCTCCATGTCGCTCAGGGTGCCGGACACGACCTCTGGTATGCTGGATGCTGGAGGCTCGTCAGAGCGAGTTGCACGACCAGGAAGCTGCATTGCGATAGGATCAAGCCCATCCGGCGGGTTTGATAAGACGGAAGCAAAAAGTGTTGCCGCGGCTCCCATAGAATGAACACACAATAGACGGGGACAGTGGGCGTTGACAGAACTACCCCGAACAAACCAGGGCGAAATCTTGATCAGCCCATCATCAGACATGGGCCCCAATTGATCGTTCCCGATATTGGTGGAATCCTTGTCTGCTGATTGTGTATCGTGAGATGTCCCATTCAACTCTGCGGCAACCTCTTGCAGACTCGGTCCCTCGAAAAGCCTTATGAGAGGGTACGGGGTTCTGAACTCCCGTAAGATCAACCCTCGCAACTGGGTGAGAGTCATGGAATCGAGAGAATATTGATCAATCTTTTCTGTTGGAGATATCCGACTGGTATCTACTCCTAATATCTTGGCCAGTCCAGCCTGTAGCGTGTCTCTGATAGCCTGCTCTCTCTCTGGACCCGACAGTCGAGATGAAAACACTTGGGATTCGTCGTTTTTGTCTGCTTCCTGCTGCTTATCTAGCCCAAGATAAGCCCCGTCATAGGCTAGGTGGGGATAGGCTTTGAGGAACATTGACCAGTCAATACTAGAAATCATGGTTTGAGAGGTACTGTGAAGGAGAGCACGTTCCAGCGCAGAGAAGACCGTCGGAAGATCTGTGGTGGACAGGCCTTCCGACTCAGCGAGCTGGACCACGCGATTATTACTCTGAGAGGTACGTGACATGCCCGCATATTCTCCCAGAACCCCGAGGTTGAGTGAAGTGCCGGGCAAGCCGGATGCCTGGCGATGTTGTGCCAACCCGTCAAGGAATTGGTTTGCCGCTGCATAACTCAGCTGTCCTGCCACCCCCAGGATACTGGAAACGGACGATACCAGGACAAAGAAGTCAAGATTTAGCCCTTGGGTTGTCTGATGGAGATTCCATGCTCCCAGGGCCTTGGGGGCAAAAACGGTTCGGAAGCTGTCCGGTGTGACGTCGTGGGCGGAGATAGTGCCCAGTACACCGGCAGAGTGTATAACACCTGCAATCGATGGCCATGATTTGTGCTGGTGAAAAAGAGATTCAGCTGCTTCGATGTTGGAAATATCTCCAGTCTCAATGTAAACCGAGACCCCTTTATATCGCAAATTTAGTATGAGAGCATGATCCTCGGGAGTCTTTGGTCCTGTCCTGCTGACGAGCACGAGATGTTTCGCTCCTCGCTCAACCAGTAATTTGGCTAATTGTAGTCCTAGCCCACTTGTACCACCGGTTATTAGGTAGGATCTAGTTCCATCTAACTTCAAGTGCTTTGGAGGCATTGCTTCAATGCTAACACCGGACGGCATTTCCACTGCTGCCTTGCCCATCACAGAAGACCGAGATAGTCGCTTTAGGGCCATGGATAACTCTGAGATCGGATGCGTAGTAATTTGTGGTGGTACCAATATACCATGACCAAGAAGTTTGCATACCTCTCCCACGATTTGCCGGTGTAAATTTGGTTTCTGTGCCGCCAATCTATCAATGTCGACGGCGAAGAAGGCACAGTTTTGACCAAGTTTCTCCAAGCCAAGCTTTGTGTTCCGATAGATTTCTGTCTTTCCAATTTCCAGAAAGCGCCCGAACGGAGAAAGGCATGCCATAGATTGTGAGAACATAGCTCCTGGCAAACAATTCAAAACAATGTCGACACCCCGGCCCTGGGTCGCTAGCTTGATCTCGTCATGGAATGTCAAAGAGCGGGAGTCGAAGACTGCTTCAGCTCCCATATCCGACACCCAGGCTCGACGCGCAGGACTCCCAGCTGTTGCATACACACGAGCACCAACGTGCTTGGCAATCTGCATTGCTGCTATTCCCACACCACCGGCTCCTGAATGGATCAGAATGCTTTCTCCTGCCGTGAGTCGCCCGAGGTATTCGAGAGCGTAGTACGCTGTGGTGCTACTGACCAGCACACAAGCTGCCTGGGCGACAGAAAGGGATGAGGGGATAGGCGCAACGAGGTCATGGCTGGTAACAGCATAACCAGAGATGCCGTTAGAAACTCGGGCCATGACCAGAGCACCACGGTCAATATCGTTCACATTCTTGCCAATCTCTACAACCCGCCCAGACACCTCGAGCCCCAGATTTTGGCCAGTCAGACCATCAGAGGTGGCTCTATTGCTCAGCGATCCCATGGCATTCAAGACGTCCTTGTAGCTCAGGCCCGCAGCGTGGACTTCAATCCCCACTTCATCTGGACGTAGCTGTGAGAAAGACTGCTGCCTCAAAACCAGGTTATCTAGGCCCCCAATTTGGCCCCTTTCTGCTTGGTACCTTCCTCCTCTTGCTGGAAGTGACCTCAGGTTCAGCTTTTCTTCCTTCTCAACATCCACAGGAACTATTCGCCTGATAAACCGGTTTTCGTCCCGGAGAGCTACCACTGTCTCATGGCGACCGAATCGAAGAGTTTGCAGCTCTGCTTTGAGGAATGTAGTTTGTCGCTCAGCCGTGTCTATTGCAAGATCAATGAGTCGAATACTGGGATGCGGAAACTCGTTCACCATCACACGTGTGGCTGCTTCTACAGAGGAGGAGAAAGGGTTGCATTGCGTATCTGCAGGCGTCATGCAGCCCCCCTGTGTAAGTACCACAACCGTACAAAAGCCACTCTGGGCGTGAATCCAAGACGCAATGCGTGTAAGTGTTTGAATCGCAGCGTCTAGACTTTCGTGGATATGTCTTTGTGGAGACCCTGGCAGCAACGCCGGGACGACGAGAAGTGTCCGTCGGTCCAGATTGAATCCCCATTCGGATGCTTCCCACGAGGGCTTGACTGCCTCTAGACCCTTTTCATAGATGCGCGAACGGGGAAATGCGCTTTGAACAGTAGGTAGTAGCCAGTCCAGCAGGCTGCCTGGTGGGTCAAGGATTAAGACATTCTCAAAATCAGCTTCCTCCCTCTTTGACCGCTCCTCCGTCTCCAACTGAAAAGATACACGGTGCTCTTTGAGCTGTGTTAAAGTTTTGGTTTGAAGCTGCTTCATAGTTAATTCAGAGAATATTGCAACAAGCTGGCCATCGTGTCCATATATCATCAAGTCGTATATTAAGAACACATCGTCGAGCTGATATACCCGGATATGTGCGAAGACAGATGTGAGAGGATAGTCATTCGTAATATCTGCTGATCGCACATAACTAGGCAAGTACACACTGTGAGGATTGCCGACGTGATGCTGGTAAGCGTATACGGTGTGAACACAAGCATCCAAAAGTGCAGGATGAAAGGTAAATCGCGATGTTTCCTCGACCAAGGAAGGTGGAAGCTCGACAAAAGAGAAGAGCTCCTCACCAAGGCGCCACATGCCCCGAACACATCTGAATGCTTCGCCGTACCGGAAGCCTGATTCTTCGAGCCCTTGATAAAACGCATCCGTGTTCATCTGTGTTCCTGACTGCAGACGAGTCTTTACAGAGTCTAAAGCCTCTGCCTCTGTTCTGGGCGGCATATCGCGGGTATTGATTCGACCTCGGGAACATACATGCCAAGCAGCCGTTGGGGGTGCATTGGCCCGTCGAGAGCTGAGAACATAATCACTGGTAGGGCTGGTAATCTCAAACATGATCTGAGGAGCAAAATCTTCGGCGGCAGCGAGAACAACGGGGAGTTCAAATCGAAGATCTTCCAACCAGATTCTCTGATGTATGAGAAATTTGCTGGCGGCTAAGTATGCTGCTTCAATGTGTCCCGTCATTGGGAAGACAATTGATCCGTTAACCACATGGTCACTTAAAAACGGTGAAACACCGGTGCTCAATTGAAGTCGTAATACACCATGTTCATCATCGGTCAGGCTGGTTGAGCTTCGGAGAAATGGATGGCGAGACTCTGCAACACGACTCTGCTGGGCTTCTGGATCCTCGAACCAATAGTGCTGCCTTTGGAAAGGGTACAGGGGCAGATCGATAAGTTTGCCGCCTCCACCATTGAATGAGGAAATACCAACAGCAATACCGACCGCGTGAGTGGCACCTATGACGCGTGAAATGGGCTCAACATCGTTACCGCGGAGCATGCCTGGAAGCAGATAGACTGGCCGCTTAGCAGCCTCTGCGATGTCCCGAGTACCAGATAGAAGAACTGGGTGCGGTCCGATCTCGATCAGAAAATTGAAACCATCTTCAATCATTCGATCTGCTGTCTCAGTGTACTGAACCGGCTTTCTTATGTTATCAAACCAGTAACTCGCACTCAAGTGCCTCCCCGATTCGACAGTTGTTGTAACAGTGGAGTACAGATTTATTTCAGTTTGGGTTCCTTGAATCGGCGACAGGGCCTCCATTATTTCGCCTTCCAGGGCGTCCATGAAGCGACTGTGGTATGGAGTGTCTACCTTGACAAATCGAGCAAACACATCGCGCCTCTCGAGTTCTCTGGCGACATGCTCGAGGCTCTCTATATCTCCCGTTAAAGTGGTCGTTTTAGGGCCATTTAGGGCCGCAATCTCCACACCAACGCCAGCATGCAAGCGCTGTATTAGACTATCAGCTTCTTTGGCCGACAGTCCTGTAGCCAGCATCGACCCAGCCCCAGCGGCCTTGCTCTGAATCTGGGACCGAAAGTATATCACATTAACAGCGTCTTCTAGGCTTAGTGCGCCGCATATATGGGCGGCAGCAATCTCACCAATGGAGTGCCCTACGCAGCCCTCTGGTTTGATACCATAAGAGATAAGCGTCCTCGCCAATGCGATCTGTATTGCTGCTATTGCCGGCTGCGCAATCGTGGTTTTGCTGAGCTTGGAGTCATCTGGTTGCCCAAAAATCTCTTCAATGATTGAGAATTGCGCAAGAGAGGCGAAAATATTGTCAAAGGCGGCTAGATGTTCACGGAAAGTAGGTTCTTGATACGCAAGCCGCATTCCCATCCCAAGCCACTGGCCACCTTGACCAGAAAACACGAAAGCGACTTTAGGACAGGATATGCCTGGTTGCTTCTGCAGCGTCAAGATATTTTTGGAAGTTTGCTGGGAACCGACCTGATCAAGTCGGGAACACAGCTCGTGCAATCCCTGCGCCGGAATGACTGAAAATTCCGCATGCTTGTCCCGGCGCATGTTCAGGGTGTATGCGACATCCTCGAGGGAATGTTTGCGTAGGCGCAGGACGGAAGCCAAATCTCGGGCAGTATGCGCTAATGCAGTATGCGACCTTGCAGATAGGTTAAAAACGCGTGGCCTGCGGTGAGACTTTCCAGCACCAGTGCCGATATCATTTGGTGCTTCTTCGAGTATGACATGTGCATTGGCACCTCCCGCACCAAAGGAGTTGACGCCGGCAAATATCTTTTGTCCTTGATTACGTGGCAATCTGATTTTCTTCCTCGATATTGCAAGTCGTAGCGACTTGAAGTCGATAGAAGGATTCAAAGTTGTGTTGTTGGCTTGTGGGGGAATCTCGCCATAGAACGCGACGAGAGAAGCCTTGATGAAACCAATAATCCCAGCAGCCCCCTCAAGATGGCCATAGTTCCCTTTAACCGACCCTATCCAAAGGGACTCTTGTTTGTCGGAACGCTTTTGTCCAAGTTGTTTCCCTAGGGCATTTGCTTCGACCGGATCCCCAACGAGGGTGCCGGGTCCGTGGGCTTCAATATACTGGACCTTGGTGGGGTCTATGTTGGATTGTGTGTAGACCGTCTCCAATAACGTTGCCTGTGCAGCCAAGCTTGGGACAGTAAAACCATCCGCTGTGTATCCATCCTGGTTAACAAGTGAGCCGCGAATGCATGCGTAGATTCTGTCTTTGTCCTGGATTGCTGTTTTGAGAGGCTTCAGATACACGATTCCGACGCCCTCGCTGCGAACATAGCCATTTGCCGACGCATCGAATGGTTTGCATGTACCGTCTGGGGACAGAAACCCTGACTTTGATAGCATGATCGTTGCTTCCGGTCGAAGAATAGCATTAACCCCGCCAGCTAGAGCTCCCTCACTCTCCCCTGTCCAGATGCTCTGGCACGCGAGATGCAATGCTGACAAGCTGCTGGAACAGGCAGTGTCCAGTGTAATGCTTGGGCCCTGCAAGTTCAGGCGATGAGATACTCGATTTGCTGTTGCCCATATCATAGATCCCAGAGCCACGTGGGGACTGATATTGTCCCGCTGCTCAGTGGCTGTCTGTATGCTGAGGTGATCATACATGAAGGTACCGAGAAAAACGCTCGTCCGTGAACCGGCCACCTTTTCAAGAGGGGTACCAGAGTCTTGCAGTGCATGGACACTTGCTTCCAGGGCGAGGCGCTGTTGTGGGTCGATCCTGGATGCTTCAGCCGGAAAGTAACCGAAGAAATCAGCATCAAATGATTTGATGTCGTCCAAAAAGCCACCCTTGCAGTTCCTGATTGTCCCGTACTTCTGGGGGTCCTTATCGTGGAACGAGCTCGAGTCAAACCGGTCTTTCGGAATATCTCCAATAGCATCGATGCCTTGCTGTAGCGCCTCCCAAAATTCCATGGCGGTTGAAACACCCCCAGGAAAGCGACAGCCAATCCCAACAACGGCAATGGGTTCGCGCTCTGAGGCAGCCATTTCTATCAAAGGTCAGAGTTATAAATGTAACGATTATGAAAATGAATCTCGAGTATGTCTTGTAGTGCTCAATGACCTGGACCAGCTAATGTGGTTATGTATCTAGATTGCACAGAGAAGGGGGATATTCAAGGATTTATATGCTTCGAGGTATCTACTCCCTCTGTCTATTGCATATAACTTCGTCCTTAACTTAGATTTAACTAGCAGTATTAAACAACGTAGAGGTTTATAACGGACTTCCCTTTTCAAGAAACATCCACGCTTGATTTTTTTTGTCGTAACAAACCATACCAAATCACGAATATGGAGTTTTCTATCGGACTTTCCTTTTTGAGACACCCCCACCCTTGACGGAATCTGTTATTTCATACTGAACCAACAACGTAGAGGTTTCGAGGGAACCTTCTCTTTGGAGCATAATTTCCTTTTTGAGATGTCTGCTTTTGCCATGAGGTCATGAAGAAACCTCATTTATGCAGGTCATACCTCCACCATTCACCGGTCCTCCCGCGCTGTATTAGTTACGTAGATCCTCTTTGTGGATGCCATGCTTTTGATTTGTCTGTTTTCTCCAGGATATCGTACAAACATGCCAATAGTCGATTCCGACGATATATCTTCTATACAATGTGGAAGGCTCGATGAAAATAGCCAAAAGGAGAATAGATTTGATGATCATATGTGGAAAATAATACCACTCGGCTACAAAAACTATCTAGCCACTTCTGAGCTCTGTGAGTAATCTTTCATAGTCATCTTATATTCCGACATCTCAAAGCTACAAAGGTGGCTGCAAGGTTGCAAGGACAATGAAGCTTCAATGGTACGGCTCTGCAAGTCAGCTGACATGCTGACCGATTGCTCATCCACGTGTCGAGTGCAACCCATACGAAAGTAATTTAAGTGGCGCCCAAAAAAAGTCAGAATTGAACTTGCCTAAAAACGTAGCATTATTTTGAGGGTTATACCACTATATCGGGTAGCACCGACATAATAAGCAAGTGGACGTAATCAAGAGAGGGGCCTAGTGATTGGGACCCAATGCTGCCCAGTAGGACGTGGTCCTGTATAACCCGGTGTTCCCTAACAGATATTATCGAGATATATGGGACTGGCCGTCATTAAGAAGGTTCAAATATATAATATGTAAAAAAACCAACAAGAACGGTCAAAAGTATTGACGAGTTTCATCATAAGAGTTGCGAATAGTTGAAAGATTGCAAGAAACAGGTCAAAACAAAATTTATGCGGGGAAAACACCCCAAGTCAGCTGACATGTTGCCAGTTGCATGTCGCGCTGTTCAGCATAAAACATACATATAAGACAGAAAACATACATATAAGACAGGAGTTGTCTTGTGTGACTTGATTGAATACAGATGCCACTTTTATATTTGCGTCTCCTTCACATTCGCCACCTTTTGTGGCTCTATGAGGCTTTCTGTGAGCTCGAAACCCTAATAAACATGAAATATGCTAAATACACTTTCTAATATATGGGTTCATATTTACTTTATCTTGTTCTTGTCTCTTACATTGTTATCAGTCAGCCATCATAATATGTCATACTCTCAATCGACAACGATTTTAGTGTAATCCTCACTTCTCCCTCCTTTGTATCGTGACTTCAACACCTTTCGTGTAGACAAAAAAGGCGTTCCTCAATGCCCACTCTTTTGAGGGGTCTTTTAGTTCGAACTGAATGTCCAAGCAGTAAGCAACCATGTTGCAAACAGACGATCAAAACCGAGAGAATGACATACCTTGAATCTTGTCAACAATTCAGGAATGACCTTGTACATTTCCAAATACGAAATGTTCCGACCCAAGCAAACTCTGGACCCCCCTCCAAACTGAGAAGATCGTCATCAGTATCCCTCAATTGGCCAACATAGCATACTAGTGCTGCACAATCCGAATTTTCGGAGAACTCACCGCAAATAAGGCTCGTTCCATCTCTTTCCTCTCGCTCTCACTCGCTTGAACCCACCTTCCTGGTCTCCAGGAAGCGGCGTCTTCCCCAAACACTTTCTTGTCCTTGTGCAAGACCCAAGCATTTACCCCAAGCACTGTCCCGCCTCGGAAATAATTCCCACATAGCTCGATGCCCCCAGGGGGAGCGATTCGCTCTAATGGGATTCCGATTGCCGGGGTCATCCTCAGGGCTTCCTTGATGCAAGCGTCAAGGTAAGGCAGCTTGTGTGCGATATCCCAGGGAATCGGTGATGGAAGATTAGCATTGTCTAGCTCGGCTAGTAGGGTCTCAATTGAATCCGGGTTTTTCAGAAGGTGATATATCACTGAAGTTAGTGTGATGGCAGTGGAATCAGAGCCAGCTTGGACGTTTTGTTGGCACCAAGAGATGATCCAACTGCAATATCTTATATTAGCATGGAATGAAAAAAAGAATGCAATGAGTATCTTACAAGTCGGGAATATTAGGGTGGCTGTCTTGAATGTTCAAGAAACGGGTCAAGAAGTCTCGTCCTTCACCTCTTTTTTCAGGATGCTCGCGGAACTCTCTTTTCCGCTCTTCTATCCGCTCCAGTGCAAACTTCATAACAGGGGACATTGTTGGCTTCGAGAACAACCCGGATAAAAAAGCAATAAGTGGATTCTTGTGCAGAATCTTATCCAGCCAGGGCATCTGACCGGCCTATCAACCCAATGGGCTTCATCAGCAGACGCTCTAAAAATCACCACATCTCCGCAATAGCGTGAAAAGAAAGAGGCCACTCACAACAGCAACATACGAAAATCGCTTCTCAATCATCTGTATGATTCCATCCACATCCTCACCCTTCTCCAAAAACCCAAGCCTCTTCCCAAACGTAATCTCCAAGACTACATCCGTTGCAAACCAATGCAGCCACTTTCCCAGATCGATAGGTTTCCCTTCGTCCGCTAACTCCCCCAGTCTATCGAAAAAGAAAGCCTCGGTGCTCTCGACTAGCGCCTCATATGATTTGAGACTCGTCATAGCGTACACCTGCGCAATGGGACGCTTCATTATCTCGTGGACGGACTCGTCCTGCGTCGAGAAGATCGTGGGTACGACCTTCCCGTGCGCGACGTTGCCCATAACCGGGTAGAAATCTGATTTGGCATAGCGGGTGCGTGTGTTGTACAAAATGGAGATGGCGGCGGGAGAGCTAACGGAGACGTTGTTGGGTCCCAGGCGAACGAGAGGTCCGTGGCGCTCGTGAAGACGCAGGTGGTGCTCGTGGGCGGATTCGGTACGTACCAGAAGGAGCCGGTGTAGGTCGGTTAGTTTTGCGAGAAATGGGCCCGGGATGGAGCGCAGATCGGAACGGAATAGTGGGAAGAAGGCGAGGTGGTAGAGGAGGTAGATGATTAGAGGTGCGCTGAGGGTAATTAGGAGTGGAAGGGATGCAAAGTCCGTGTGAACATGAATCTTGTCCATCATTGCTTCCCTTTTTTTTTCCTTTCTTGTTTTACTTTTTGGGTGTGATGATTTCTATGGGTCGTCAAGATGAATGTACTCGGGCTGCATTTTCTGATATCTATGGTGTCTTATTATGAGCCTGTGGTACGCTATCACCCTAAACTACAAACCCCGCATCCCCCTGAGCCACGGATACACCGGGTCGCAAGCTTTGCGTCCACTAACGCATCCTGTGCTCATAGACTTCATACTATAATACACCGTCTGCCTACAGATGATCATGAAGATCCACTGCCGAACTCAGACACCGCCCCCACCCGTATATGCCTTACTAGTATCACGCCACGACTTACCTTTTCACTCCAAGTGTGTGCATTATCGCAAGTAGCACTGTATTAGTCTAGTATTTATTATCAAAAACAAGCTGTAGAGACTGGTGCAAGCAGTCACCATATATAGCCGTTTAGATGTTAAGAGCATGTCGCTGCGTTGGACCGACCACGTGTTGGGGGTGTGCATGAAGGTTTACCCCAGAGGATAACCCAGGCTCCGGCGTCTTGAACCTGAAAGCCCCTACACCTGAAGAATAAGCAGAACAGACAAGAGAAGCGGGGTGTGCAAAGGATTCGAAGTAGTGGATGTAAATTACCCGATCTCCGACGATCAGTGGAGCCCAAGGCCGGATACACGAGTCAAAGCCACGGACCGTCCACGTACCCGAGCAAATAGGCGAGAGTGTCTCCAGTAGCGAGTGCGCGATTAGTACTTCTGGTAATAGCCCAATCACATGAAAGACCCCTCTGCACAGACCATAATAGCTTAGAGGGCGGACGGGCTGTGGATCCACTGTGGAACGCGGGACAAGGAATGCCTTGTCAAAGCTTCACTCCACGCTAATATGACAGGAGGGTACTATTTACAGAACGGTGGAGCCTTGGAGAAACGAAGTAGCAAGAAAAGAGGTGGATTCGATGAAGAATGATAGGAAATACTAGTTTCACTTTTTAGAATCAATTATACAAAATGAGCGTTTGGTAAGACGGATTAGAGCCGAATTCAGCACGGCCTTGGTCGTGGGAGACCAGGCTGGGCGAAACTCGGTCAGGGAGTGGAGTTGTTCGTAGCGGACTTGGAAGACCACATAAACTCCCGTTGGACCGTGATAGCTTGATCAGGGTCGTCATGAAGTCCCAAATCAAGAGACGAGTCTCTATCACCCCGACGAATGTCATTCGTCAGAGCAACGTTGCCAGTGCCAGACACGAAGGTCCCGCCTTCTTGCAGACGGTAGAAGTCGCTTGTTTTCTTGCTGGAACCAAACCCGGATGGGAAAAGATACCGGACAAGGGGCCGGAGGGTCGGCAGGCAAGCGGACACAATTCCAAGTGAAGGCTCAATTGAACTCCAGATGAATCCGCGGCCAAAGTTCCAAGGAATATCCTCGGTCTCATTCATGATTTTCACTGCATAACACCGAAGGGCACCTGCAACACAGGTGCTGCGTGAGACACATATCACGTTAGTATTTATCGTGGGGGATCATCTCGCTCCAGGGACACATACAAGGTTCCAAGACCGAAGATGCACATAA